GCATGTTTACTTTAACCTACATACATACATTTAATGTAGGCCTTTTATCAGGGTAATCCCAGTTGGGAAGACAGAGGAAATTTAAAGGAATTTTCGTCCCCTTATTCCTTCGGGGAGAATAGCATACGGCCCCAAAGGCAGGTGTAACATAACAATGTACAAACGTACTGGTAATCTTCGCGTAATTCCTAATATTACCAGGCCTGTCAGGCCATATTCTGTCATTGCGCTAGTGTGACCTCTAAAGGGTGGTCCGTCGCTTCCTCTTCCACAGACATTTGTGCAAAGAAGCAATTTTCAAGTTGAACTGTGATAAGAATAATAAAACCCTAACAAGCAATGTTTTGCTCCCCTTGCACAGAGAAGAGGTGTTGTCAACCTCGCGGAATAATAATGTCGGTAATAGGTGAAGAACAGACCACGTACCGGTGGTTACAGCTTTAATAAATTGTTAAGGTTTTCGGCAACTTCTGCATTCTACAGGTTGCTTTTAAGCTATAATTGTCAACCTAACACGTTGACGACAACGCGCATTTTGGGCACTCGGGCTTATGATGGGCGCGTTTTTGCGAGCGCGACGGGCGCGGGGCTCATGTGTTCAGCGCTGTTCTCTCGCATTTTTCGGAGCTCAAAAATCGAAAATTGAATCGGATTGCAACACAGTTACTGATTTATGCAGTAGAAGAAAAGGTATGTTAAGGTATGGTAAAAAAAAAAAGGTATGTTGCATCTTAGGCCTGTCACAGGCGCATTTTACCATTGAACAAACGCTCATTCAATGTGAAAAAAGGGTTTGAATTGGTAACAGTACCAAGTATTTTTTCTGTGATGAGCTACGAAAGCTAAGAAATTATGAATGAGTATAAGGAGTAAGTGAAAATAGAGCATTACGAACCATAGGATATGATAGGAAGTATTTGGAAGAGGAAGAATGTAGGAAAAGTAGTTTTGGCGTGTGTCAACGATAGCTCGAACAAGCACGATCAAACATGGTGCGACGAATAAGTCGGTTTGAAGACAGTCTACAAAGCGGAGAGAAGATTACCACGCCCCTTGTCAAAGGAAATAAGCGCTTTGAACAACAGTTCATTACTTTGTCAATGTTACTCGCAGCTGTGGTTCGCAAGGGCAGAAAGCAAATTTTCCGCTTTTCGCACGTGAAACGTTTTTTCGCTGCGGAAACCTCAGGTCGGTGGACCTGGGGCTCCCTTGCTTTGCGCGGCAAAAGTTACAGTCGATATCCGAAAGTTGGGGTGGGTGTGTCACCGGAAGTGACGTGCACTTGATAGAAGTGCGTGGATAAGCTGTTGCCAGCATGCTTTGCTGATATCCAGCGATGTATGTTGGAAGCAGCTTATCCACATAGTTTCTATCAAGTGCACGTCACTTCCGGTGACACGCCCACCCCAACTCACCGATATCGAGTATAGCTTCTGTCCTAGCGAAACACCTTGTTATCATGGGAACGTTTCAAAAAATAGCCGTAAGCGGAAAATTGTTCGAGTAACGCTAAAGAGTTCCTTTTCGAGCTTCTCTCTTTCAAGGACCGCTACTTCTTCAAGAACCTTATCTGAGGCCGGACGCATAGTCGGTCGGACGACAGCAACGACTGCTGCTGTCGGACGACAGCAACGACCGCAGGTGTCGCATAAACCGCGGTCGCAAATGGAAGGCGACGCGGTCACCCAATGCAAACCCAGACAACACGTGACTGCGCGTGATCGTATTTCGAAAGTCCCACTGTAGTGTGGAATAGTAGCTGCGTATTGATCTGCGACACTTGCGGTCGTTGCTGTCGTCCGACAGCAGCGGTCGGACGACAGCATGTGTCGCAGATCGATACGCACCCAATGCTGTGCGACACTTGCAGTCGTTGCTGTCGTCCGACCGACTATGCGTCCGGCCTTCCCGTGATCGTGAACACCTTTGAGTGGCCGATGTCAGACTTTGCGATTGGAGCGATTTTGCACCAATTGCAGGAGCGACGGATCGCTTGAGCGATGCGAGCGACGGGAGATTTACCCCGCCGAATACCGATACACACGGCGCCGCTCGGGTAAATCTCCCGTCGCTCGCATCGCTTGAGCGATCCGTCGCTCCTGCAATTGGTGCAAAATCGCTCCAATCGCAAAGTCTGACATCGGCCAGTGTATTGAAATAAATAAATAGAGGACTGTTTATTAGTGAAATACGAAAACCCAAAGAAAAGTTAGGTATGCGCGAAAAAACTGCATGAAATGGGTGCAGGACACATACGTCCCGCGCTGTCCAACATGGCCTGCAAAGTGCGGGACGTATGTGTCCTGCGTTGTCGTCAGCGTGTTAATTGAAGTGCTGTTCTATCAAATCGCAATTTTTGTGGTGCTATGGTGCTCAGCCTTGTTTACCTGGGTCACTGAAACTGTGAAGTTGACAGTAGCAAGCCATAGATCAAAATTGAACTCATTCTGCAGCGGCGACCATGGATTGTGGAGAAAGCATTCAAAAGATTCCATGTCCTTTTTTTTCATCGAGTGTCGCTCAATTCATTCTTTTCAGCTCTTTAAGGCTGATCACCGCAGATTCTCTCCAGTCAGTCAGGTTTTGACGACAATTTCGCTGACGTAGTGATCACACCAAGCTATTTGCGAAGAGTTCTCGCTCCACAAACCTGTGCTATCAATAAGCAAGAGCTCGTGCACCTGGTGAAAAACGATCACGTTCAGGTACGTGACACCAGGAAACACGCTTTTTATCTTATAGTTGGTTATGGTGCTCAGTCAAGTCTGTTCACATTTAGGTTTTTTTGGATGAATACTCGGGTCTCATCCAGTAAGGGGGGGGGGCATTGTGATGCAACGTCAAGTGGCTGCCCTCACCCCCCACCCCCTAGACTGCCTTCACTCCCCCTGGCTTACAGGGTCCCGTACTTCAAGAAACCTGTGCGCCAGGGGGAGTGTAGGCAGTCTAGGGGGGAGGTGCAGGTCCACTTGATTGCCTCGCCCTACGGGGGATAGACCGAATACCCTTGAAAAATGTAACACTTGGGGGAGACATTTGATCGAATTAATTTCCCAAGGTCTGCTATATTAACCCTCCGTACTCGTCCTCCACAAGTGTGAGTCATCTTTTTTCGTAATCCTCTTACCGGCGATCATGATTAGCTATTTGTAAAAGTACCTGCCGCTCTTTTATTCTCTAGTCCGATTGCGTCGAAACGGAAAGCAACTTTAAATTTCAATCTAGTAGGGTAAGCTGTACATGTAAGACACATGCGATACAAAGCTGCAAAAAGAAGGCTCTCTGTCCTGCATCCGAGTCTGGACTTATCATTGCCTCACCTTACTTCATTTGCCACGTTCTGGCTTGTTTGCGATCAAGATTTGAAGATCTTCGTCACCCAGATACTCTTTACATTCGATGCACACGACGTCCACTGCCGGTGGGGCTCTGCCTAGCTGATGTATTAGGATGGTAGGAAAGTCCTGAGCCGTTAGACTCTTTTTTTTTGCTTTTCTTTCTTATTCCGCATACAATGGAATTTACTCAACAACATAATCACCCATTGTTACTCACTACAAGCCAACTAACAGATGACCTGCGTTAGACTACACTCTCCAAGTTGCACGTTTTGTCTCCTACCATTGTGGGCGCCTGGCGTAACTGGAGTAGGTGAGCAAAATCTTCTCGCGGTTTGTTCTCGAACAGCGTCGCTGTTCTGAGCTGATCTGGCTAAATGCTTGCCGTTAACGGGTTAATGTCCTGGCGATAGCCAGCTCATAAATGCAACATCCTCCGTAAACCAGAGCACCCAAAGAAACAGCTTTGAGTGAAGCACCGATTTGCTTGCGGGAGCCTCTCCTCGAGGGAGCCACACGGCACTGTGCTTGTTAGAATCGTAGAGGACCCCCCCTCTCATCTCTCGTAATCATGCCTTCCAAAAACTCCTTTCGGTGACAAAGAAGGAGAAACTGACAAATGGGTACCCGCCTGAACCGCGTGCTATCGGTCAAGACATGAGGGATCCATCGAGTCGGCACTTTCCTGTGGCGAGGGCGTGGAGGGGACCGAGGACTGTGGGATGGGTGCACCCGAGTCTTATCACAAGGCTGCGGGTGCTAACCTCCGGATCCTCTTCGACAGCGCCGAGAACGGTGGAGTCTTCCACTGTTTGGGGGCTTCCCAACCTTGTCTTGTCTTCGGAAGCCGTGTCTCCTCCTTCGAAGCCTGCGAACCAGAGCTTGGCACTGATGATGGAAGTGGTGTCCCTTCCCAATGCGATGCTGATAATGTTGACGGTTTCCACTGCTCCTGTGCCGCAGCGCCATTCATTGAAGATGATCGCTCGAAAGTGCTCTTGTGGAATCGACATCATGATTAAAGTTAAAGAAGGCAACCCGGCAATATATACCTACTGCGGAGAAGTATGATCGACAGCGATAATCTATCACGTAGCAGATTCTAGGTATCGATCAATAAGCGAAAGTTCTGGAGCTTTCGAAAAATCGGCTCAGGACTTTCTTACCATCCCAAGTATGTTTCGTAATTCTCGAGACATAGCCCACCCGTCCACCCCCTCTACCCCGTCTGTCTAGGCGGATTACCAGGAAGTAGGGAATTTCGTGGTTGATAGGCGAAGCTGATCATAGTAAGAAGCATACTTATACCCCCTTTCAAAAAACGAGAAGAGCGTCGGGTGCAGACCATACACCACAAGTGACGGCCTCACAAAATGTAAATGTTTTCTGCCAATGAAATGATTAGCCTGTTGCAGTTGTATTCTATCAGTTGTCACTAATTACAACTATCATTTACCAAAAATCAGCTATCACTATGAACCACTACTAACCAGATTTACTTGGAGGCCGTCGTCACTTGTGGTGTATGGTCTGCACCCGACGCTCTTCTCGTTTTTTTTTTGAAAGGGAGGGTATATCCGCAGTAGTAAAGAAGTCTAAAAGAGCTCAAACTTTTTTTTCTTCGAAATCAACTATTTTCATCTTAGTTTTCAGAAGTTACACGAAGCAGTAGAAGCAGCTGACAATTCGGAGAGGGCGGGGATTGAGGATAAGCGACCGAGTAAAGAACAGACCAAGGAAAAGCTTGAATAATGGCTTTGCCTTTGGATTTACCGGTAGTAAGTATTTATTGTTTTGATCGGGACTCCCAATGAGTGCTGAGCTATATTTTTCTTTCATGGTGAGAACGAAGTTGATTTCACTGAAAGAAAGTTTCTGCCATTCCCCGAATCGAACCAGATTCTCGTCATTCGCAAGTACATGTCGCCCGCTGCTGGCTAGTTTCTTTTGTCATTGGACATGACCTTTACTAATTGCGCTACATTTATTCTTTTTTATTATTTAGAGTCTACACTCGAGCTGTCCACCCCCATTTATACATGCTTAATTAATGCCTATGGTCGACTACAGTTTGTCGAAGAAAACAAAGTGGTTTACCTGGTAAATTTGCTCTCGGAAAAGGCGCGTTGATAGATTTCTTTCTTCTCATCAAAATCGTTTGATCTATTCCAACAGTATAATTTTCCTTTCAGTCATTGAAAAGTGGTCACTCGATCGAGCTATCATGTGCTGACGTATCTGCTCAGAATTCTTTGGAATGCCTAGCAGTTCTTGCGACCCTGTTAGTACCTTCTTTTTTCAAGGCTACTGATATGAATTCATTTCTGAAGCTTTAGTTGGGTT